TGTTCTGACCCTAACATAGGCATCATACAATACACAAAGCACTTTCACATCCACAAGGGCCTTTTTATTATAGATATTTCCGCAACTATTTCTTCCACTAACCTAAATGCATCTGTAAAACAGGTACTATATTTTATTAGCCTTTGAAGGGAAATGAATAGACCCTCTCAGTTTCTCTACCTCTGTCATTAGGGACCAAAAAGAAAAAGGATAACAATGGTGCATACCTCTTCCCAATCTCTCATGCATTCTACACTACTCATACCCAAGCTGCTCAGCACCATTAAAATGAACATAATGACAAGAACTTACTAAACATCTATGAAGTGTCAAGAATTTTACTTACCTGATGAATCAAGTTATACTATGTTAAATACTTAGAAAAGTTCTGGCAAATCTTAAATATCTATTGTTATTATTATTTAATTATCCACACAGCCTGTAAGGGAAGCATTACTTTTCTCATTATACTGATAAAGACCCTGAAATTTAAGTGATTGGTCCAAGCTTACACTGTGAGATTGTGAAGAATGAGGAAAATACCATAAAAGAAAATTCACATATATATATATATTAAGCAAACATACAATATTTCATATTACAGTGGATTATTTTCTTTACTAAAATACAAGTTCTCAAAGTGGCAGCCTCCCCTTGCTTATTGACCACCAATTAATGGAAAAACCAGAGACCAAAGTTTTCTGACCAATGGCTAAAAGCCAATAATCAGAAATAAAGAAAATAACAACACCAAACATTTACTGAACGCTTCTAGCAACTGTGCAGGTAAGTATTATCTTCTTTTTATAGAACAGAAAACTAAATCTCAGAGAGGTCAGGTTAAGCCCAAAGTAAGCAGGAGAGCCAAGCATGGAGCCCGGAATACTAGCCCAAAGCCCTTGCCCTTTCCGACATACTCTGCTTACTTCACACGTGTTACAGAACCAAAAGTGCAAATCAACAGGAAGATTAAATGTGGTTGCCAGAATAGGTGCCAGGCACTTTAGAAACTCAGTTGCAGAATGAAGAGAGATAACAGTTCTGTAACTTGAAAGATCATTTGAGATATAAGATGGCACCAGTGAACTGGTACCAGATGACACTGCCCTAACTTCTTCAAATTTTTAAGGTTTTTATCATAGGACGTATGTGTTTGCCAGAGAGAGACAAAGAGAGACAGTGAGAGGGAAAGTGAAAAATCACTTCTGGGTGGGGGTAGGAAGGCCACACTGCAATGCCTCCCCTTCTATTCTCCTCTCGGAATTTTGGGCACACCCTCACATATGCTGGGTGTGATTTTCAAGCCATCAGGTCTGGGATTTGAAGCATGATTGGCCATGGTTGGTCCAGCTCCTTAACTAGCATGCCACATGCTGGCACCCCTACTTCCTGAATTTAACCCTATACCACAACTAATGTTATCGCCCTCCTACATCCCTTTACCAAGACTGATTCAAATGATCAGGGGAATTGAAACTCAGATTATCTTGAGTGAGAGAGACGACCAGTCCAATATCTGCCCTTTGAAGTCAGAGAAAGTAATCTACTTTCGAGACAGCTCTTTAGATTTGTAGATGGCAACTGTATCTTTTACATATTTCTTCTTCAGATTGAAGGTTCCTCTTCTGAAAGAAAGGCATTATATGCACAACATACTAGTCACCTCCGCTGTACACTTAATACTCTAAATAAATGAGGATAACGATCATCTACATCAAAGAAATAATGAAGCTTTATTATAGAACAAAATAGAGGAACAGAGAGAGAAGTCCTTGGATGACAAAAATATCAATTCAAATCCTGGTCAAGTGTTTGCAACCCAGAGATATCTTATCCCCCTCCACAAAGAGTATTTTCCCCATGCCCATAATAAGACTGGCGCCAGACTGCTGTCTGAGATTCAGGAAATCCATCTGCCAACTTTGGAGTAGGAAGTCCAAGTTCAGAGCAAGCACTGACCCCAGAACCCTACTGGCTCCCTGCCTACACACCACCATGCATGGCGGGGTCTGATCTGAACAGCACCATCGACTGCAAATCACACGTCACTCAAGGAAAACACAAAGGCTTTATGAAAAATCCAAAGTTTATTGCAAATTGTATTTTGCTTCCCTTCGTTCTTCATTTTTACAGGATTTATTGATATCCATGATTTTTTCACAGATGTACTTGTTGACTTTGGAGAGTCTCTGTGCAATTTCAGTTTCGTCCACAGTTTCTTGTGCTATTCTGTCATACAAACACTCTAGACAGGGAAAAGAAACAAGAAGGCCAAGGATTAATGGTGAATTTCAGTACAAATCTTTTAAGAGGGGAAAAGAAAATGTGTCTCCTGATATTCTTCTGAAATACCAATTCACATATCTGGCATAGCTATATTTTAAAATCTGAATCATAAAGTATGCTTAGAAAAGAGCTGATATACACATTAAAAATAATGATAAGGTGTCTGTATGTCTACCACCCAGCTTAACAGGACATTACTGGTTTCTCTGAAATCCCTAGGTGTTCCTTCCCAATTTTATCCTCCCTTCTTCCTCCCCAGAAGTAACCACTCCCCTGAATTTTTGCTTTTCTTTTTGTTAGTGTTAAAAATATGTGTATATATATTTTTAAATAACATAGTATTTTTCCTGTTTTCAGCATTTTTACAAATGTGCCCGTAGTCTATTGAGGAGGAAGGTCTTCAAAAGTTTATTTTATTAAAAAAATTGCATATCAAGAAAAAAACTATGCATGGATTTCAAAATTTTTTTTGCACCAGAATAAACTTGTTCTTTAATAACATTTTTCCATGAACTTTTTTGAAGCCCCCTTATATATCTTCCTGACTTGCTTTTTTTTCCACTTAGTGCTACTCACGTAACATTTGAGATGTACTCATAATGAAGTATATAGCTCCAGGTCATTTGTTTTCACTCATGAGCAGTATTCTACTGTATGACCACCACAATATGTGTTCATCCGTTTTATTGTCGATGCACACTTGGTTGTGTAGTTACACACACCCTGGCACATGTCTCTGGGGAACACACGCAGAATATTCTCCAGGATCAGTGTAGGCATGGAACTGTCAAACGTTAGGATGCATGCGTGTCACCTTTGCTAGGTAAAGCCTACTACGCTGTTTTCAAGAGCGGCATGCTGGCTGGCACTCCCAACAGCATGCAAGTACTGGTTGCCCCATATCTTCAATAGTACTTGACACTATCACATTATTAAGTTTTTGACAACCTGGTGAGTGTGAAGTGGTTTCTCATTGCGAGGATTACTAATGAAGCTGGGCGCAGACACTCTCTTACTGAGTCTACCATTTGCTGTGATGAAGCACAATGAGTCAGCCTTAGCCTTGGCCTGGCTGGAGGCTGATTTCAGCTGACTTCTAAGCCTGGGGAGCTGGTACAAATAATTGCCCTAGATTCCTCCCCTCATAAAAAAGGATAATAAACCACAGAGAATCTTTTTTAAGGCTGCCATGATGCATGTCAGGTACACATTTTACAAGATTTTTTCAAACTGTATGAAACACTGTATCTGCATTGTACTGTATAATTACTTTATGTATTGGGTTGTCAGCAAAGTCGCGATGCATTTCTTGCACAGAAAAAAAATTATGTCTTAACTTTTTCGACAACCTAATATATGCTGTTAATTCTCAGGGCCTACCACAGTGCTTGGCATGAGGGTGAGATTAAATAAATACATGTTGACTGAATGCCTTTCCAAAGAAACTTGAGAGGATACAAAAATTTCAGATATAAAAAGACTAGGGAATGGGTAATCATGGGCAAAAGCTTTTAACTTGAGCATGAGTTTCCTCACCTATAAAACAGAAATGACAATGTGATCATAAGGAATTGCCATGTAGAATAAGCAAAATCTTATCTTTACCAAAGCAGCCCATCTCTCAGATATGCAGAATGGCATCACTAGATGGGATCATGAAGACTAACTGGGCTATTCTCTCCACCTGTTTAGGAGAAGACCAAGGCCCAGAGAAAGGGAATTGGGACCCACTGTGACCTCCCCCCACACTGAGCCCTTCTCTGAGCCAGTGTGCCTCCTGTGGCCATCCAAAATGCAGATACAAATACTATAAGCTTTTCTTCTCTGGGGCACCCACTCTTTTCCCCAAGAAGGGCTTTGCAAAGATGCTTTCAAGAGCACTTGATTGACCTCCATTGCCTTCTGACTCCTCTCAAGACTGACTAAGCCTGCATTCATTCTGTCGTGGCTTTTCCATAAGGACTGAGTGACAAGAATGATGGGGCTCTGTCTCTCCAGTTCCATTGTGGTAAGGGGGCCTTCCAGAACAAAGGAAGATAATGGGACATACTTGGAATTTAAGTACACATGTGCAACCTGTCGTGACCTTGTAGCCCTGTCTCCATAGCAACTTAGTAACTCTGTACCTGCTATCTGACAGCCCAGCAGCCCAGTGCATACCTGCATAATTTTGTAGCAATCGTATTATATAGTCACTCAACCCAAAGTATGTAAAAGTGTGTATAACCATATGAGGGGGATGAAGAGACTAAAATGAATAAAAGGAAGGGCCCCTGGAAATTCGGGGCTCAGTCTTTGGATGTGAATCTTCTGAGCCAGAGATGGCACTAATAAATCACTGTTTTCCTGCCAAAAGCCTCATTGTCCTGTCTCCCTCTCTCACCGAATATCTGACAATGCCACTTCTGCCATACCCACCTGCAGTCCTCTCTCCATTCCAAGCTCTTGCACAATATCTTTGCTCATTTCTGCCTAGAATACCCTGGCCCTACCCTTTGCCTGCCTAAGTCCCTCACATTTTTCCAGATTCAGCCTTCTTAGGACCTACCTTCTCCTACAACTCTGTTCCCACATCTGTCTGGTTTTTCTCTCCGTCAAACTGTAACTATATCAGCTCCCCTCCCAGACTGAGACACATGGGTCTTTCTCTCCACCCTGACCCAGCAAAAAGCAATCACTTGGTGACTTTGCTGGAACCTGAACCAAGTGTGGAAGAGCCTGTGTTGAGAAGTTCAGGTGTTCAAATGTGGCTCTAACCTCAGATGCTGTAACATCGCCAGAGGGAACCTCTCTGAGTCTCGGTTTCACTATCTATGAAAGTAGGATGTCAAACTGATAATCTAAGGAGATTTTTTAGCTCTAGGTCTCTGGCTGTTTGCAAGATAATAAAGGCAGGTAAAGGCAAAGAAGCGAGAAAGGGAAGGCAGGAGAGTGGGCATGCCAGTCTACAGAGCCCCCACCAGGAGTCAAAGAAGAGGCAGAAAGAGAGAGGCACAAAAGCAGAAAGGTTTCCAGAGGGGCTTCCACAGAATTCCAATCACTTTTATTTCCTGAGGGTAACAGCACTGAATGGCCCCTCAAGTTGATTAAAAGACTTTCGTTAGATTCTAGATATTAATCACCTGCAGTTGCTGGGAATATCTCCCTCTGCAAGGAAGCATTTGAGATTATTGCTTAATTAACAAGGTTTATAACAGCACTAATGTGTCCTATTAAAAAAGTTATAAAAATTAACCAGAACGCAATGCTGTGGCTCATTTAGAAAACTCAGACACTCTGCAAAAGGTCATTTGGCCTTAATAAGGTTTAACTGTCATTCTGGAGCCTGTCAGTAGACAAGACTCTCCTTCAGCCTTCTGCTTTCATGTTTCTAAGGCAGTGCCAATATTAGCCCCATTTCTCTGCTATCTGGTAAAGAATGATTTTAAAATCAAAGAGAAGGGGGAGTCCTCATCAGCCCTGTGAGCGTAAAGGCTTTTGCCATTTGTATATGGCAAATGTGCTTAAATGTAATAAAATCATACAAAATAAATACAAACAACCTCAATCCAGCAGGCAGCTTGCGTGAAGAGAGCCAGCCAAATGCAATCTGAAATAACTCAAATAATTAGGCTAAAAATGGCGACTGTATGGTGGGATGAGAGACAGACTTCAGACTGCCTGGCTGGAGTAAAACAAATCAACACTGTATTTCAGTAAGACAAGAAATCTCTGGCAATGACAGGAAGTCCCAAACCCTGATTCAGCTTGGCTCTGTCTCTAATAGGTTGTATGGCCCTGGGCAAGTCAATTTCTTTCTCATTCACTTATGTGGCAAGGCATATTGTCTCCAAGGGGTTGCTAGACAAGGCTCCTAAACAGGCAAAGATACAGTAGAAAGTGAACTGAAAACAGGCACTAGGTGCTCTGGGACGTATGACAGAAGCATTCACCTATCCACAAAGGTCAGAATGGCTTCCTGAAGGAAGGGTCACCTGGGCAGATCTTGCAGATCATTTAGCTGGGCAAAGCAGCATCTGTGTGGGGTGGGTAATGTGACCTGAATTCTAGGCACTGGAAATAGTACTTGCCAATTTCCCAATGTGAGAGAGAACAAGGCTTGCTTAGGGAATATGGTAGTTCATTATGGGCACAACTCAGAGTTCAAGATGAATATTGCTGAAAAATAAAGCTGGAGGTATAGCTAAGGGCCAGATTATGAATGTGCTTTATGACATGTTAAGAAGCTTACATATGTGTATGTGTGTGTGTGTGTGTGTTGAGAGAGAACAAGGCTTGCTTAGGGAATATGGTAGTTCATTATGGGCACAACTCAGAGTTCAAGATGAATATTGCTGAAAAATAAAGCTGGAGGTATAGCTAAGGGCCAGATTATGAATGTGCTTTATGACATGTTAAGAAGCTTACATATGTGTATGTGTGTGTGTGTGTGTGTATTTGGGGTTTTTTGAAGAGATTTTTTTTTTTTTTTTCTTTTTTTGGAGAGGTTTTTGCTATAGGGCAAGGGCCCCTGGAAATTCGGGGCTCAGTCTTTGGATGTGAATCTTCTGAGCCAGAGATGGCACTAATAAATCACTGTTTTCCTGCCAAAAGCCTCATTGTCCTGTCTCCCTCTCTCACCGAATATCTGACAATGCCACTTCTGCCATACCCACCTGCAGTCCTCTCTCCATTCCAAGCTCTTGCACAATATCTTTGCTCATTTCTGCCTAGAATACCCTGGCCCTACCCTTTGCCTGCCTAAGTCCCTCACATTTTTCCAGATTCAGCCTTCTTAGGACCTACCTTCTCCTACAACTCTGTTCCCACATCTGTCTGGTTTTTCTCTCCGTCAAACTGTAACTATATCAGCTCCCCTCCCAGACTGAGACACATGGGTCTTTCTCTCCACCCTGACCCAGCAAAAAGCAATCACTTGGTGACTTTGCTGGAACCTGAACCAAGTGTGGAAGAGCCTGT